GGAGTCAGCAGTGACTCAGGTGGGTCCCGCCACCAGCCAATGACGTGAGCCCAGGTGCTGGTCCCTCCTTCCCTGAGGCCCATTAAGGCTCCTGTAGGAGAGGGGCCCAGACTGAAGTCCCTCCACCCCTTCTCCACCCAAGGACACCCTCACCCCCAGCACCATGTGTGGCGACTACGGGAACTACTATTGTGGCCGCGGCTATGAAGGCTGTGGCTATGGAGGCCTGGACTGGGGCTGTGGCTTCTGCTATGGCTCCCACTCTCTCTGTGGCTGTGGCTGTGGCCGTGGCTCTGGCTCTGGCTTTGGCTACTACTGTTGAGGACACAGGAGAAATTATCTGCCACCTCCGTCCCATCCTGCTTCCCGAGCCCTGAACCCTGTGTTCTGTGTCACCTCACAGGCTAATCTTCCCCCACAGCCTCGGGGTGATTGCTGAGTCCCTGCACGGGGGCCCCTGTCGGGGACTAACTGTCGGTCCTCATCCCCTCTCTGTGCCTCATGGAGGGAATGTGACCTGACCCCCTGGCCTCCTCCACCTCACAGAGCCATCGCTGCCGATCAGGACACTTTAACGCACCACTCTGTGTCCCTGTCCTAATGACCTGGTCAGCCTGGCCTTGCAGCTGGGTTTCTGTATGTTTATTTTGTGTGATATAATTTATTTTATGATTTTGGGATTTTCTTTTTGCTTGATTCCAGGAAAGGTGACAATGTGTGTTATGACACACATTCTCCTCATATTTCTACTTCAGTTGCTCTACCAGTTCTAAGTGTGTGACTTTTGAAAAGAATTTGATGTTGAGAAAATTGGACAGATGTGTGCAGAAATGAAAACTAGACCATCTTCTCACACCACGCACAAGAATAAACTGAAAATGAATTAAAGACTTAAATGTTAGACCTGAAACCATACAAATCCTAGAAGAAAACACAGACAGTGAAATCTCAGACATTCCTCCTGGCAGTATTTTTTTTTCTGATATATCGCCTGGGGCAAGGGAAAGAAAGGAAAAATAAACAAATGGGACTACCTCACACTAAAATGTTTTTGCTCAGCAAAGGAAACCATCAACAACATGAAAAGATAACCAATTAAACGGGAGAGCCAGTGATACATCTGATAAGGGCTTAATATTTGAAATTTATTTTAAAAGCTTATAAAACTCAACATCAAAAGAACAAACAATCCAATTAAAAACAGGCAAAGGACCTGAATAGACACTTCTCCAAAGAGGACGTACAGAAGCCAAGGGACAGATGAAAACATGCTCAGCCCGTCACTAATCATCAAAGATGCAAATTAAAACCACAATGAGGTGCCACCTCACACCTGTCAGAATGGCTACCATCAACAAATCAACAAATGGCCCTGACCAGTTTGGCTCAGTGGATAGAGCGTCGGCCTGCAGACTGAAAGGTCCCAGGTTCGATTCCGGTCAAGGGCATGTGCCTGGGTTGCGGGCACATCCCCAGTGCAGGAGGCAGCTGATCGATGTTTCTCTCTCATCGATGTTTCTAACTCTCTATCCCTCTCCCTTCCTCTCTGTAAAAAATCAATAAAATATATATTTTTTTAAAAAGTTAAAAAAAAACAAAACCAAATCAACAAATGACAAGTGCTGGCGAGGATGTGGAGAAAAGGGAACCCTCGTGCACTGCTGGTGGGAGTGCAGACTGGTGCAGCCACTGTGGAGAACAGTATGGCGTTTCCTCAAAAAACTAAAAATGGAACTGTCTTATGACCCAGCAATTCCACTTCCGAGAATATATCTGAAGAAGCACAAAACACTGATTCAAAAGAATATGTGCCCCCAGTAGGTCACTGCAGCGTTACTTACAGTAGCCAAGACCTGGAAACAGCCCGAGTGCCACCCTAGATGAGTGGAGAAAACAGCTGTCGTACACTTACACAGTGGGATACTGCCTGGCTGTTAACAAGGAAGAAAGAAAGGAAGAGAAAAAGAAGGAAGGAAGGAAGGAAGGAAGGAAGGAAGGAAGGAAGGAAGGAAGGAAGGGAGGGAGGGAGGGAGGGAGGGAGGGAGGGAGGGAGGGAGGAAGGAAGAAAGAAAGAAAGAAAGAAAGAAAGAAAGAAAGAAAGAAGAAAGAAAGAAAGAAAGAAAGAAAGAAAGAAAGAAAGAAAGAAAGAAAGAAAGAAGAAAGAAAGAAAGAAAGAAAGAAAGAAAGAAAGAAAGAAAGGAAGAAAGAAAGAGAGAAAGAAAGAAAGAAGAAAGAAAGCGTTATTTACAGTAGCCAAGACCTGGAAACAGCCCGAGTGCCACCCTAGATGAGTGGAGAAAACAGCTGTCGTACTTACACAGTGGGATACTACCCGGCTGTTAACAGAAAGAGAGAGAGAGAGAGAGAGAGAGAGAGAGAGAGAGAGAGAGAGAGAGGGAGAGAAAAGAAAAGGAAGGCAAATTTTACCCTTTGCAAGAGCATGGATGGACCTGGCCAGCATTTTGCTAAATGAAATAAGTCAGAGAAAAACAAATTCCTTATGGTTTCACTCAGATGTGGAACCTAATGAACAAACTGAACTACCAGCAAAATAGAGACAGACTCACAGACAGGGAGCAGGCTGACAGTTCTGAGGGGAGGGTGCTACGTGGAGGGATTGAGCAAAAAAGAAAGAAGAAGGGAAAGAACTCATGGGCATGGACAGCAGTAGAGAGATGCAGGGGGAGGCGGGTGGTGGAGATGAAGAGAGTACGGGGGGATAATTGGGAAAAAAGAAAATAAACTAGAAAGGAAAGTAAAACTGGAGAGGGAGGAAGAAAAGAAAAGAACGAGTGAAAATGCCCTCCTCTCCTAGAGGGACCATGTCTTTGTCGCTGGGAGTTTTCAGACAAAGTGAGATCATATTTCTCAATTAGTTTAGCTCTTGTGCAGCCCATGGAAAATTTTCTGCATCATTTTCCACCACAAACTGTCACCTGTGAAGTCCGCATTGCTTCAAAGTACTTCCTTATGTTTTCCCCTCAAAAATATGGACAGAAAACTTCATTCTTGCAACGTGCAGTTCTGTGATTTGAAAAACCTAGTGTTGTGGTGCAGGTGCCACAACCAAATCCTAATGGGGCCACACCCCTCCCTCCAAACCCCTCAGGCTTTTCTCAACCCCCTTTCAGTCACTACCTTCCCAACCCCTAGACCCTGGAAACGGCTGCCTGTTCTACACGAACATGGCTGTGCTTTCCCGGGAGGCCCCATGGTGTTGGGGTCCCCACCCCCGTCCTGCTTTGGGGAGTTTGCTAGAAGGACTCACATCATTGTGCTCACGGCGGAGATCTGTCACAGGAGAGAGGTGGGGTGCACAGCTGGGTCAGCAGGGGAAGAGCAGGCAGCGTCCGGGGTCTGTGGGCCGGCGTTTCGTGTCTCCCCTCCACGGGGCCACTCAGAGCTCACTCTCACCCGGCAAAGGGAAGGGTGCGTCTGTGTGGTATCATTTCTGCCCCAGGAAGGCCCTGGACACTCAGTGCCTGAGATCAGAGAGACACCAGCAAGATTCCAGGCCCCCAGGGGGAAGGTGGCTCAGCAAAGCACACGTGTGTGCAGACCCGGCTCCGTGAGCAGCCACTGTGTCAATGAGGAACTGAGCGAACACGCCAGACCCCTTCCTGACCTGGTGATGGCCGTAGGGTCTGTAGTGATGCCTCCGTTTCACTCCTGCTCTTGATAAAATGCGTATTCTCTCCTTTTCTCTTTTTAGTCTTGCTAAAGGTTTATCAACCTAAACCTTTCAGAGAACCAGCTTTGGGTTTCGTTTACTTTTCCTGTTTTTTAGAAGATGATACTGACTTCAGTAGTGACCTGTATTATCTCCTCCCTGCCCTCCTCCTCAGTGCTCCTTGCTGATGGTTTGGAGGAATCTTGTTACTGATCTGGAAACTTTCTTCTTTTCCGATGTAAAATGGGCTGCCGTGGTTCCCATGTGAGCGCTGCCTTCACTGCATATCACACATGTGCATATCTTTTGTGTTCATGTTCATTCAGTTCAAAATGTTTTATTTCCTACAAATTTTCTCCTTTAGACACACACATGCGTGAGCATACACACACACACACACACACACACACACACACACACACTTAATATTTTAAAGTGATTTTCTTAATACAAAATATACAGATGAGTTTGATTTTAGCCAGTTAGACAATCTCAGTGTTTAAATGTGAATTTAGATATTCACAATGTTTAATTTTTGAAAATATATTTTTAATGATTCAGAGAGGAAGGGAGAGGGAGAGAGAGATAGAAACATCAATGATGAGAGAGAATCATGGATGGGCTGCCTCCTGCACGCCCCCCACTGGGGATTGAGCCCACAACCCAGGCCTGTGCCCTTGACTGGAATTGAACCCGGGACCCTTCAGTCAACAAGCTGATGCTCTGTCCACTGAGCTAAGCCGGCTAGGGCACGTTCTTTAATTTTTTATATGACCTAAAGTACCAAGTAAAAGACTATGTAAGTCTGTACAGCAAACAGTATAAAGAGCTAAAGCCATCGTGCGGGAAGCAAATTCCTATTCTTTTTACCAGAGAAGAGCTGAGACTCACAAAGCTCACAGATTTTTCCGTGGTTACATATCATGGAACCAGTACAGCAAAGAGAAATATTGAAGAAAAATCATTGTTATCCTACGAACAGCCAAAAGAACAAGGAAAACACGGCACAATAAATGAAAGGAGATGAAATAAGTTTTTTCTTCCAGATTCATTAGGAAATTTAAAATGTATTAGAGCAACAGAGGAGCAAATTTAACATAAAATTACAGAAATAGTAATGATGCCAATCTCATCCTGATGTGAAGGGGAACATGAGCTCACAGGATGAGTTCATATCCTCCCAGATATCAAGTGGCATCAGATGCAGACACCAGGGCCCAGCAAACCCTCTCTGAGCTGGGCAGTGTGTGGGACTAATCACCTGACGGGTGGGGTTCAGACCTGGGGAACCACTAGCTAGACATTCAGAGGGTGAGTCCCCATGGCCTCCTCAATAGTAGTAGCCAAAGCCAGAGCCAGAGCCACGGCCACAGCCATAGCCACAGCCACAGAGAGAGCGGGAGCCATAGCCGCAGCCATAGCCACAACCACAGAGAGAGCGGGAGCCATAGCCGCAGCCACAGCCCAGTCCCCAGAAACCACAGCCACAGCAGGAGCCACAGCCCCAGCCCAGGCCTCCGTAGCCACAGCCTCCGTAGCCACAGCCTCTGTAGCCGCGGCCCCCATAGTAGTTCCCGTAGTAGCCACACATGGTGCTGGGGGTGAGGGTGTCCTTGGGTGGAGAAGGGGTGGAGGGACTTCAGTCTGGACCCCTCTCCTCACAGGAGCCTTAATGGGCCTCAGGGAGGGAGGGACCAGCACCTGGGCGCACGCCATTGGCTGGTGGCGGGACCCACCTGAGTCACTGCTGACTCCTGGGCTTCCGCGGCTCCCAGGCGGGTCATTCATGAGAACCCACTGTCTCATCCTAAACGCCACACTAGTCGGTCTCCTTGAGAATCATGGGAGCTCTAATTCCCAGATACAATGGGAAAATCCAAGTATTTTCCTTAAAGTCGTCTGTGCGGGAGACATTGCATCTACACACATGAGTCCTGACGGAACAGGCCTCTCTCTCAGCCCTGGGTGTGGACAGATCCTTCCTCTTTCAGGAACCAGCCCAGTGAAAGTTACCAGCTCTTCACCACCAGGGTCAGGGTGAGGACAGGGGAGCCCAGCTCTCCAAACAGTGCTATCGCCAGAGGAGGTAGAGCCCTTTAACACGCTGAGAACATTTCACAAATTCACTCATACTCAAGAGCCAGGCAGTGCATAAAAGAAATGTCAGGCATACGTTCCCCTGGGGAATGCTGGGAAGAGGAAACATGTTTGTCATAAGAGCTGATTTCCAAATGTACATACTCCTGGAGGGCAGAAAACAGCAGCGTGAGGGGGGATGAGGTACAGTTTAAGAAATTCTTCTAGAATTTGGAGCAAAAATGTTATAAGAAAAATTATAAAAAATGTAAGGGCTGTGCAGATATATTTTAGAATCTGTCACTCAAAGTAAGGGATAAACAGAAGAGAGGAACATGGGGATTGTAATGAAAGACGTTTTGAAGAGGGGAGGTTCAGAAACACAAATGTGATCTTCACATGTACTTAGTGAAGCATCACAAGCTAATCACTGAAGGATGCTAATACCAGATTATTCTGGGCGTTCTTGTGCCTTTTCTGGAAAACTAGCTAGCCAGGAAATGCAATGTTTCTATTTCTATCAGAGAGATAAAACCTGTCATTATGGGGCCAGAGTCTTGAATAAGCCGCCTCATCTCGTCGCATTTCTGTTGTAAATGGGATGGTTTGACCACATCTGAGGGTTGTTGAGAACATCATGTGAGATAATGCACATCAGGTACTTCACACAACCAGTAAATGCCATTAATTATCACTATTGTTAGACCTTTGACATAGGACTTGCATGACGAACACCAGGCAAGGTAAACAGAGACTATTCTTACATACAAAGAAGCAGAAAATAAATCTTGCCTATAATAGTCCATGATGACACATATGAAGCACTTGTTAAATTCTAGGCATGTTCTAAGTGCTTTACATATTTTAAACATGTACTTCTCATTAAAAACCTGGAATGGTGCTAATTTTTAGGCAAGAATGCCAAGGCCAAAGAAGTTGAATAACTTGCCCAATGTCATAGGTTGCTAAGTGACAGAGGCTAAATCCCACACAATGCGGTATGTTCATATATACTTTCTGACTCATGAGAAAGCTTGGGAGTTGCTAGCCCTTTATTATGGTAATGGATTGTTTATAATAGAAATCCATAATTTAGACTGATGTAAATAAAGTTACAATCAAGTGGGAAGGAAAACTTCTTTGCAGTAGGACACCAGCTAATATATTTTTTAAATGATGAGAATCAAAAAACTCAACATTTGCCATCCATCATCATGACTAACAATTCAGGCAAGAAAGAAAGATAAACGTGAAGGCCAGAGGTGAGTGCTGGGAGATGAATGGAACATCTATATTGTCACAAAACACCTCTAAAGAAGACTTCCTGATTGTGCAAGAACCATGAAAGTAGCTTCTGAGCAGAGAAATCTAGTCCTCATCGTATGGATCAACTGATCAAGTTATCAGCATCAGTAATGGGACAAGCCATCCTCCCGTCCCTCCCCGTGGGGGAAAGAGAATCAAACTTTATCACTTCCTGAATTTGCTTCACAAAATCCATAGCCTTGTTCTAATCACAAGGAAGGTTAGACAATCCAGCCTGAAGAATATTCTAAACAGAATCTCCTGCAAGCTAGAGAAATATGGAAGTCCTGGAAGTGACTACACCACGTGGTGGCGGGTCCTGGCCTGGCCCTGGGTTCGACTGTTTTTCTGGAAGCGCATTACTGGGGCGACTGATGTTGGAATGACCGTTGAGGAAGGAAGAGCAGGCAGCAGCCTGGCTCACAGGGAGTAGAGTTGGGTGCAGGCTCACAGGGGTCTAGGGGACCTTGTGGGATCAGCAGTTGGGATGAACCAGAGTTGCTGGGGCGGGAAAGGGGGTGTGTCTTCATGCCCCTGCCAAACCTGGGGGCGAGTGCTTGGAATGGGCAGGACCTTGTGTGCCAGGCTCTTCAGCTGAGCGATTTGTGTAGGCGGCTCACAGCCCAAGGACCTCTGCCTGCGACCCCTCAGCCCCTGGGGGTCCCGTCCTCCCTGCTGACCAGGAAAGTGGGGACAGCACAGGACTCAGTAGAGAACTTCTACAGAACAATTCCCCAGGGTGGTGCCCAGTGAGGCACAGCCTTGCAATAACCTTCCCCGTGTTGGGTGGTCCAGTCATTCGTTTCCAAAATCCAGCATAAAGCCCGTCAGCACTTCCCCGACTGCACAGCCTTCTCAGTGACGTTACTCACACATCGTCTCCTCAACTCTGCTCTTAGATTTCATTCATCAACCCGTATCCACTCAATGCCTGATTAAGCTTCAGTTTTCCTAATTTCGGGCACAATTGTTCATCTTTGTCTTACAAGTATTCACTTATAAAATGTGTAATTATTACAATTGATACGATCAAAAACAGATTGTGGCATTTTCTAGGGAGGAATTATCTTTGAATCTTAAGCATGTGTCCGTGTGTTAACATCATGGACAAATAAGAGGCGGGAGATGCTCTGGATTCCATGGGATGCTGGGTGCAACGGACAATACATTGCGAGTATGACCCTTCCCTCTAATTTAATTCCATGTGAAAAATAATAAAAAAGACACTTGGGGAAATGACCATGGACTATGAATTAGATGACAGTGTGGTATCAAAACCGTATTTCTTTTGGTGATAATGGGATTGCAGTTCACTTGATAATAGTGTCATGAAGTCTACAGCATAGTTTCCAATGGTTCAACAGTGTGGGGTGTGTGTGTGTGTGTGTGTGTGTGTGTGTGTGTGTGGTGGGTTGTGTGGGGGGTGGAGGTGGAGATACAGAGAGAGAAAATGAAACTGACAAATATTAATTTTCCATATCGAGGTCAACAGCATTCAGGTGCTCACTACACTATATTCCTCAGTTCATTGCGGGTTTGACATTTTCCAATATTAAAGTCTGGGAGAAATACATTCATATCTAGGCAGATATTGCTTTGGGAGTACTGAAATTTGCAATGAGTCACTACTTCAATGCCTAAATTTAAGTGGTTCCTCTTTCAAAGACCGAATAGAATAAATATAATGAATAGTTGGGGTCTAAAGTTTTCACTGTAAGAAAAGAGACCCAACAGTGGAATGGGGTTCAGTGTAGAAGCACCTGTGTTTTCCAGGTTCCGGTGGAGCAATTCATTATCTGAAGACTTTAAAGTCGTGAACAAGCCAGTATGAGTACAAACTAGAGAGACGTTGGTTTGGGCTGTTAGTGGTGGTATTGACCTTCACGTTAGACACATTAGGGGCCTAAGGACATCAACCAATTAACACATGTGTAAGTGGCCAATCATGGAAAATTATAATCACCAAAAATATTGTCTTGTGCGCTTACAATTAAGTCTATTATCTAATTTGAGTCACTATCTAATTTATTTGTATTCAACTATTGTGACCTACCGAGTAAGAGAAATAGGGTTTACAATCTGTTTCTTGAGATAGACCAAGACCATTCAGTTTATCACAATATCAAGTGGAAAATGATAAGCTTCATGAGTAAAGTGAGGAGAGAAGACAAGTCTTCACAGAAGATTGATGTGAAGACAAGAAGCTCTTTCTTCTGCGCTGTGACCCTCCTGGGATCCTAGTTCCTCCTCGAAGCCTCATTTCCTTCCTGCCTCCGACCAGTGGAAATGAATGGGACAGGCCATTGTCTGACGATCCTCACACTCGTTCAGGGCCAACCCGGGAGCTAGAACCCCCATAGCAGGGAAGATAAATCCAAGTTTACAGATCCATCAGTCACAGAAAATGAGAGGGAAAGGAAATGACTGACAGCTACAACTGTGGGCACGCACCAATTAGAGGAAAGAGACAAGAATATAGAATGACAGCAAATGCCGCCAACAGTTAAATATGTGATGAATGATAGAAAAGGTTTCACCTCAAACATCAACTCTAGTTCAAGACACATAAAGATAAGGGAGGTAGAGCAGGTTTAACCTCCTCTGCTCTTACATGGGCAGCATCAGAAACCACTTCCTGTTCAAATCTGCCCCAGAAGATTAGACCATGTGTCAACTTTCAGATCTTCTAGGATTTCCTCCGTGAAGGTTTCAGTGTCTCAGCACTTGTCCTGTGAATGTTCCAGGTGATGCTCAACTGAACTGACACACGTTCCCTCCTTGAGCCCTAACCCTAAGTCTAACCCTAATCTAGTCCTAACCCTAGCTCTAGCCCTAACCCTAACCCTAACCCTAGCTCTAGCCCTAACCCTAACCCTAATCCTAACCCTAACCCTAACCCTAACCCTAACCCTAGCTCTAGCCCTAACCCTAACCCTAATCCTAATCCTAACCCTAACCCTAACCCTAACCCTAACCCTAATCCTAACCCTAACCCTAACCCTAACCCTAGCTCTAGCCCTAACCCTAACCTTAACCTTAACCCTAACCCTAACCCTACCCCTAGCCCAGCACAGCCCGTGGCATCGCTGCTCCCCCAGAGCAGAAAGAGAGGGCGATGAGGTTATGTTATCTCTTCCTCGTGTCACACAACAAGGGTTTGATAGAGCAGCTGAAGGAGAAACATTAAAAGAAGATATCCCCTAAGTAGGCCATTGTGTCCTTAAAACACAAAATGAGAGACACTGGACTTTGTATAAAAGTAACGCAGGCACAGTATTTCAAGTTGAACAGGTTTATTAGGAAAACGGAGAAGTGAGTCCCACATGAAGGTCAAGGGCAGGACCTGTGATGACATCATTCCCTGAGAGGCCTCCGGGGACCCTCAGGATGAACTTCCCAGGACCCCATCATGAGTCAGACTCAGGAAGGAAAGGTGGGGTGTCAGACCCAGGGGGCACCGGCGGGCATGCCTTCTATAGGGCCCAGGGCACGTGGCTTCAGACTGGTGAACCCCGACGTCCAGGTGGGCGGGATGAGTCTCCCAGGTGTCCTCAATAGTAGTAGCCAAAGCCAGAGCCATATCCATAGCCACGGCCGCAGCCACAGCCACAGAGAGAGCGGGAGCCGTAGCCGTAGCCACAGCCATAGCCACAGCCACAACCCAGGCCTCCGTAGCCACAGCCACAGCCGGTGCCACAGCCCCAGCCCAGGCCTCCGTAGCCACAGCCGTAGCCGCGGCCCCCATAGTAGTTCCCGTAGTAGCCACACATGGTGCTGGTGGTGAGGGTGTCGTTGGGTAGAGAAGAGCTGGAGGTGACTTCAGTCTGGACCCCTCTCCTCACAGGAGCCTTTTATACACCCTCCGTGGGGGGGGACCCACCACACAAGGCGTGTCCCTGGCTAATTGGCAGGACCCGTTTGGTAATTTGTTGACTCCTGATTGAAGGCCTGACCTCAGGGGACGCTGAGAATGTCCATTGTGGTTTAGCCACATCTGGCTCCTCTGGGGTCATTAATAAGAATGGATTGTCTCATTTTCAAAACCTGCTCACAAAAGCTCCTCAATTACCCATCTGTAACCAGCTTATGGCAGAAACGTCATTTCCGAGACACGGACCGACTCCAGTCAACCGACACCTTTGCCTCCTTCTGGCTGATAGTCAACAGGTCATGAGAATCTACCTTAACCTGGAGTTTCTCCAGCGGGTCCCTGCTGCTCCAAACCATTTTCTTTCCTTTAGGAATTCTCGTTTTACGTGAGAGATGGTTTACTATGAAAAGCCCGCAGCTATTACTCAGCCTCATGAGACGTTTGACCAAAAGGCCGTGGTTTGAAATTCTGGAACAGCAGTCCTGATGAAACGGAATTCCTCTCTCGCTTACATTCGTATTCCCTTTTATGTTTCTATTTTTAAAACCCCAAATATTTTCCCAGTGGTTTCACATTTATATCTGAACCTACAGCCAGCAAATAGACACGGGGACACTTCATGTATGAAACCGCACTTTCATGAAAGCGTTTTCTTTAAGTTTCAACATCTTTGCAGTCTTTGTGCTCTGGCCACAAGGGGGTGAAGAGAGAACCTGGCAATGACACCTACCAGGCACCGCGTCGGCTTCACCAACAAGCCCGGTCCCGGGCAGAACAGCCCAGACCGTGAGAACCCTCACCAGGGACCAAGTCTCTGTTGTGCCGAAGCTCAGAGCTACATTCAACGATCGAGTCAAGTAGCTTCTAAACTCATATTCTTAGATGGCCTCACAGGTTTCCCAAGAGCACAGTAGACTCCAGAGAAAGTTCTAGAATCACTCTCTGGGTTCAAGGCGTATGTCTGTCACTTATGGCTGTGCAGCCACTATAACCAGGAGCCTCAGTTGCCTCATCTGGAAATGGGCTGATAACAACACCACCCACCCCACAGGGCGATTCTGAGCGTTAAAGGAGTCAGTGTGTGTCGGCCTGTGGAGCGGTGTCCGCACACAGTAGGTTCTGCGATCATGTTTGTTCTTACTATTTGCTTCATCCCATTACTGTTCCCCAGAGAGAAGCTTTTGTGCAGAGCCGCTGGGCGGGACATCAGAACTCGGGTGTGGCTCTGTCCTGCCTCAGGGCTGAGCATCTGGAAGGGGGACAAGGCCCTCTGGTTTCCTGAGAAGGAGCAAGGCCGTCGGTCACCCCGGACGTCCTGCAGACAGAGCACGCGCTGGCTCCCACCAGATGGAGCGAGGGCAGGCGCACCGATTTCCTGGCCCAACCAGCGACTTCCTGGTAGAGAGCCCCGGGGAGCAGCACCCCCACCCCGGGTGATGGGTGAGCAGAGCAGGGTTCGGCTACGGCCATAGAGAGTGCAGAGCGGCCCTGTCCCGGCCACAGATGCCACTGCAGGACAGAGGGAGGCTGCCCCTCGATGGGCCAACGCCTTCAGCCCTGAGCACACCTGCCAGGGCTAAACCCACTGTGCGTCACGCTCTGTGGGGTCCCACGTGTCGGCTCTACTTCTCTCTGGAAGCTGTGCTGACGTCACTGACACAGACCTGGTGTCCAGGCCCATGGGACAGAGGATGGGCTGCCCACTCTGAGAGCCTTGCTGCTGTTTGATGAATCTCCTCACGATTGGCCATTTCTATTATGAAGTCCATTCCATATGTGCATTCACGCACTCACTCATTCCTTCTTCATTCACTCACCAGCCAGCTCCTCACGTAAGCCAGGCACACTGCAGAGTTAGGGTTAACGGAGGGCATCTATGTTTTGCTGTAAACGATGGGAAGGGGTATCTTGTTTTCTCAGAGTGTACAGTGTTTGATCGGTGTACCCCCACAGCACACGGGAATTCTTTCCAATGGCCTTCGAAAGCCACCACAGTCCACGTCACAAGAAAGAAGTCAAGTACTACTAAGAACACCGTGCCATCGAGAGAGTCCGCATGGCCAGCACCTCGGACAGTGCCCAGGGCGTGGATTTAGCGCCGTGGAAAGGGGAGGGTCGGGTCTCCTCCATCCTCGTCCTCCATCCGGCGGCCACAGATCCCCGGGGGACAAGTCCGCCACATCAACCCCTCGGACGATTCCGATGAGGGAACTGGACAACGGTGTCCTTAAAACGATCCCATAGAACAGGGCAAGTGGCCGTGTGTGCACAGCTGGAAAGCGTCTTCTAGAAGGCGCTGCCGTGGACACACCATCGCACAGTGCCTGTCAGCCGCTGGGACACGCAGGACGCCGGCCAATGCGGTTAAAAACACAACTCAGCTGTGAAAATCACGGCTCATTTAAAAATAAAGCCCTGAGCGTGTTCTCCTGCAGACGGAATTTATCTCTCCACGCGGAGAGCTGCACGCGGTTGACCCCGAGCATAGAAACACCGGCCCTGTGCACGCGCCCCTCAGCTCTGTGCCCACGCGCCCACCCTGCTGCCCGCCAGCTGCGCCTGAGCCAGGTCAGCCCCGGGCCCGCGGGGCCGTGGGAGGAGCGGGAGGGGACACGCCACAGCTCGCCTTCCTCAGCCCCACGTCTAGGCCAGGGGCCTGGCTCTCACTGCGACAGAGGAATCCACAGCGGCCAACACTTCCTACCAGGAAACAGATAACAACTGTCCGAATGCGGAGTCACACGTTAATGGAAAGAACACAAAGTCAGTGCTCAGTAGCTGAGTAAAAATGTAACCAAACGCAAAAATCAAACGTATTTAAAACGGGCAAAGGACCTGAATCGACACTTTTCCAAAGAGGCCACGGCACGTATGGAAAGATGCCCAATGTCACTGACCCTCAGAGAGAGGCCCCGGGAGACATCACCTCACCCCCGCCAGGACGGCTGCCATCAAAAACCGACAAACAACAAGAGCTGGCGAGGATGCGGAGAAAAGGGAGCCCGCGTGCACTGCTGTGGGGATGCAGACGGGTGCGGCCTCGGTGGAAGACAGTGCGGCATTTCCCCAGAAAGTTAAATGTGGAACTCCCTGTGACCCAGTGATCCCACTTCCGCGCATATCTCCTAAGAATCCCGAAACAGCAGTCAGAACGGCCATGTGCACCCCTGTGTTCATAGCAGCGTGACTTACAATAGCTACGATCTGGAAACAGCCCACGTGCCCTTCAGTAGACGAGCGGATAGAAAAGCTGAGGTGCATCTACACAGGGGAATACTATGCAGCCGTGAAAAGGGGGTTCCTAGCCTTTGCAGCAGCATGGAGGGGTCTAGAGAGCATTACGCTGAGTGAAATAAGCCAGTGTGGTCTCTAATGAGCAAATAGAAACAGCTGGATCCACGGAGCAGAGGACAGTTGTCAGAGGGGCAGCGGGGGGGGGG